TAGACAGCTAAGGTCAAAAATCACAGAGTATAAGAACCACATCCGATGGAACACCTCTATTCATAATGTCATAACAGAGCATCGGTTACAAGAAGGTCATGATTTCGATTGGGATAAACGTTACAATACTGAACGAGGAGCCTCACTACAGGAAGAGACTGATTTCAGAGACGATATTCATCAGGAGACAGACACATGGACTCAATCTGCAGACGAATGGAGGGACTTCTCAAGTCTATCATAGACAAGCTATAAAGGCTTGAATTGTTGTCACATCTAGTCAGTTAGGGTCATTTGTAAGCAATAATGTCTTTCTGGCGTGTTTACTTTCTAACTTTCTTGTTCTTGAAATTGATTAATGCTTTAATGATACATTTTTCCATTTGTTAATTATTAACTAAAAAACAAAAAGTGATTCGCTATGTCTGATACTGATTGACCAACATTATCAGTAGTCGGTTCTTGAATTATTTTTAGTAATGTTTGCGATATGGTGCTTTATGATTTGGTAAATGTCCTTATATTTGCTGGATAATTAATTATAATCTTAAAGTTGTTTGATAAATTAGTTCTCCATATTCTATTTACGATTTCTTAATTTTTTTTTCTTTTCCTTTTTCTTTCACTCTTTTTCATTTTAATTCCGGATATTTAAATTCTCGATGTAGAGGAGCTCACCGTGACAAGATAACTTTTATTCACAGTTTTTATATATGTTAGTTTATATTGTCTCTGAGAAGGCTCAAAAGTAAACCGAAAGCACGTTTTAGTGAATAAAAAAGTTTCACATTTCATAGGTATATTATTTGTGCGACATCTTCTGCACTTCTACTGCCCATATCCTTTCTTTAAAAAATAACTCAATTTTGTTAGTACATTCAATAAAATAACATTAATAACACTTTTCATATCTTATATCGTTAACACATGAAGAATTGATACATTTATACAAAAATTCTTACTTATGAAGTGAAATGCTCTTTTTACTTCTCTGCCACCTAGGAACGCAACACTTCATGTTGATATTTTTATTTTACATTCACGCGATTTTATAATTTTTCAAAGTAATCTTTTAAATATAACCCTACACATATACAAGATGATCTTGCTGGCATATGTGTCTCACTAAAGAACATTAAACGTAAGTGCGCATGAGTATCTGAAAACTTCTGATTCACTCTTATATTGACTCTTATATTGAAATTAAAATGGCGCTGATCAATTGCCACGATTTTCTATGTTTCACACCAGAGACCCATTCCAGTGTATATATAGTTCAGTTGAGGAGGTAACGACTCTTAAATTCCGGTACAATCTGTCAGAAATCCGATGAAATCCGAGGAATTCCTCGAGGTTCCGATGAAGTTTGGTAAAGTCCGGTGAAATCATGATGAATTCATGAATTCCAACAAGTCCAATGGATTCTGATGAAGTCAGATGAATTCCAGGTGAAGTCCGATAAAGTTCAGAGAAGTCTGATAAATTCATGAATTCTGATGAATTCCGGTGAAGTCCAATGAAGTCTTGAAATTCGAAATCCAGATATACATATTTTTTGAGTAGTTACCCCCTTGAGTTCAGTGGAATAAATGGATCTTCAGAGTAAAAGAAGATAACCGATATAAAGCAAGGAAGTTATAATGAAAGGTTATGAATATATATCAATTGTACATGAACCACTTGCGCACAAGCCAATTACAGTATTAGAAAAAAATGAAAAAAACTTCTTACACAGAAGTGATTGGTGTAATTGGACACATAATTGTTGCAATATGCAAATGAATCACTTCTAAGGATTGTGTACAGAAATTTGGACTCGATTATGAAAAGATCTGACCGATAGTCAACATGAGCTCATCGAAATTGATACTTGCATTAGCAGTTCAGAAGATGTATGTTATAGAAAATTCAATGTGAAGATAGTTATTTTATATAGTTTGAAAAAAATCAATATGATGATAGATATTCTGAAAGAAAACATATTAATGTGCGTTCATGCGTGCGTGAAAATTCCAGAAAGTTAACAAAACTGAGAAAATCTCTAAATTATATAAAACCTTGTATGTATTGAAATAGGTGTCTTTAAGATAGAACCAATGTCTAATTAAAATTCTGAGAATCACTAGTTTGACTCCCATCAGGATGGAGCCTTGCATCTTTGTAAATATTGGATTGTCCGGAAAGTTCGTGCCGATTTTGAAGGAAAATTGAAACGCAGAAGATTTAAATTTTAATATACATTTATTAAATTATATAGGTGCCATTCTGTTCTACAATCTTTCTCCATCTTTCAGGCAACTTGAAAATTCCGTCCTTCTAGAATCTCTCAGATTTTTCAGTGAAAAACTTTTCTAAGTGATTTTTTACCTCGACCAAAGAGTTGAAGCTTTTTCCATTAAGGGAATTTTGCAATGATCGAAATAGATGGAAATCAGAGGGCGCGAGGTCTGGTGAATATGGTGGATGGGGTAGAACATCCCAATCGAGCTCTAACAATTTTTGTCGAGTTATCAAAGACACATGAGGCCGCGCATTGTCCTCATGAAATACGACACCCTTCCGATTCGCTATTTCTAGGTGTTTTTGTTCAATTGCTGTCTTCAATTCATTATCGTCTCGTTGTTTGGCTCATAATACAGGATCTCTTTCCAATCTCACCATAGAGCATGATCTTCTTTGGATGAAGACCGGGATGATTAAAGGTGGTTCATTCTGCTTTCCCCAAGATCTTTTTCGCTCAACATTATTGTAAATGATCTATTTTTCATCTCCCGTCACTACTTGTTTCAAAAATGATATCTCCTCGTTGCGTTTAGAGAGCGAGTCGCAAATGGAAGTGCGATCCATTAGATTTTTCTCTGTTAAATCGTGGAGAACCTATACATCAAAATGGTTTATGTAACCAAGCTTCACAAAATGCTCGTGGATGGTGGATTTTGACATATCCAACATTTCTGCTAATTTACGTGTCGTATAGCGTGGATTATTCTCGATCAGTGTTTTAATCTGATCTTTATCTGTAGTGGAAAGCCTATCCAGGCGTTCTTGATCTTCAAGGTTGAAATCACCAGCTTTAAACCTAGCAAATCACTTCCGCACAGTTCTTTCAGCTACAGCACCTTCGCCATAAACAGCACTTGTTTGCCGCTTGTGTGGCATTTTTGCCTTTCCGGTAAAAGAAAAGCATTAAATGCCTAAAATGTACTTTGTTTTCTTCCATATTCAAAGGCGTATAAAACTGACAAAAATTAATGTATCGCAACCAAATTTTTTTCTAAGTATGCCTGAAATACCGTTTTTTACGATATGTACGCATGTCATTTGTTTCCAATCTGATATATTCAGATGCTACCTACCAAAAATCCTCCTTATGCTACCTACCAAAAATCGGTACGAACTTTCCGGACAACCCAATAGAAATTATTTCTTGATTCTGGTTTTCTACGTAGATGATAGGTGATGATATTTTTTAGTTATGATCTACACAATTTCTTTTAAGGGACTGAACAATCCAAACAACAAAAAGTCCAAAACCGAGAAAATGTCATAGAATATTAATGTGTATATTTCGATCTTAGAAAAAAATTTTCGAATCTAAGAGAATAAAAGTAATTATACAAAAATTATTGCATTTAATCGATAAAACAGACGACTTTAGAAATCCCTTTAAGGGATGCTGGAGTGACCAAGTTTGAAAGCCATGGCACAGTATAATCATACCCAGTAACGACATGAACGTCGGAAACTTTGAGGCATGTTTTAAGTCACATGATTCATCGCCATGTTGTGAAGTGTACACAGTAGAATTATGATAGGACAGGCTCTTAAATTTGAATTTCTATTAAGCTCCTAATACGTCCGCCATATTTCTAAGTCCAAACCATTACATGTGCACTAAAAATTGCAGATCACAAAAAAGTTCACTGTTGTTACTGGGTATAATTATACTGTGGCCATAGCTCAAAAAAACTTAAGGCAAAAACGTAAGATGTAAGGAAATCAATATGTTATTATTGGATTGGACAATATTGGCTACTGCTTACGTTGTGATCTTATAGACTCTACCGTGATTAATCAATTCGCTCACTGCTTACGTTTTATTGTTTAAATTTTTTGTGTGCTGTGGCCCTAATCAATATTAGTAATACTTTTTTAATTCTAAATTCTAAAAATGCCGATATTTGTGATATCTTTAATTTATATCTTACATTATCATTTTGTCTCATTCAAACGCATACCTATCCTTCTCTGATATATTGCAATGCCATCTTTTGTAAGATTTGTTACCTACTGCTAGACAATTACTGCTCTATTTACCATTCTGAATCTTTGCTATTATACACGTAATTTGAAAATTAGTATAAATCTTTTTTTACCTTTCAATCTTCTATAAACTCATTGTCAATATTGTTCATTCATGTAATTTGATGAATAGTGCAATATTATTTTATCTATACGAGCTATAGAACCTTTGTAAGAAAATGTTTATGTCATGTGACACTCTATGAGTTGGAAACTATAAGTTTTAATTTTTTTTATTTCAGTATAAAAATTGCCCCACTTCCTAATTTTGCGTTTATTTCAATCCTGTAATTTTTCATTACTTTTAATGAATTCAGAGATTTTTATACAGCTGTAATTAATAATTGTGTCATTCTAGTGTTTCTCTTTAAGTTTGATTATAATAAAATTTCTCCACAACATATATTGTAAGATGTTAATTATAATGTATCAAAATGTATAAATAATTTTCTCTTGATGATTTCAAATTTTTCAAAAATGTGATATAATATAAAAATGTGGTAAATAGAATAATATTCAGTATCTAAAAAATTATAGGAATCGATTATTCCCATTCTTGTGTTCGAAAAAAAAATTTTTTGTTGAACAATATTATAAACGGAATTCTATATTGAATTTTGAAATAGGTTATAGATCATTTGAAGCTTAGCACTAAATAAAATATTTTCTAAACATAACATTGTTTGTTCCATTCATAGAGATTAGTGGAGAGCGCTGAACAGGCTGCAGTATCTGCGCCGAGGGAAGGAAACATGTCGCCCAAGTATTATGCTTCGCATCGGCTTAATAACTTTGTTAGCGACGAAAAAGGTCCCACACAGGAGATGTTTCTCGCTACGAATCGCCACTTCGATAATCTAGCAGTGAACGTTAGTTTGTCTGCCGTGCTCCTGCCAAATGGAATTAAAGACAATGGTAAGCATCGCGATAAATGAATTTGACAAGATGCCAATCCGATGCCAATACATGTAGATATCCATGAATGAAAGTCATCTGTATTCTTTCATTCTTCATAGTTTAAATGAGAAAAGATTATTATCTTAATTACACTACTCAGCTAAAGGATCATTTATAAAAACAAGCAAATTTTAAGATAGAAAAACTTTATCAAAAATCATCATATTGTAAGAAATTTAGAAAAAATAGACACAACAAGAAAGCTGTCAGCATCAGTGACTCACTGGCACGAAAGTCTACGGAGGAGACCTCTACGGAGAGACCGAATCTCGGAGCACCCTAATATTTTTCTTGTGTTGTCACTTATTTCTTACAGTATCAAAATGATAAAAAACTTGTAAACCGTATTTGTGTACAATTTTTCATTCGCGCCGTGGAACTTCGTAAAAAATTTTGAAATTTAATATATCTTCATTTATGTAACTCCATAAAATATCAATAAGACCATTTTTTAAAGTACATAACATCTCGATATAATGATTTTTGACAAAATTCTTCTATCTTGAAATTTGCTTATTTTTGCAGGATGGAATAGGTCCTTTAATTTTGTTAAGTAGTGTATCTTTATAAATGAGGAAGATTCTCTGATTTAGTTGGATTGAAATTGGAATCACACGAGATTCGATTCTTTAAATGATAACACATGCATGGCGAAAAAAAACTAGAATTGTTTCCAAATTTACTGCCATTACTGAAAGTCTATAATTTATGTCACGTGTATTATCAAAATGTATCATTCCCGTGGATTCCCGCACTCGTCCATAATAATCATGATCAATCAGAAATTGATTATAAAGGTACACAAAAAAACTTAAGCAATAAAATGTAAGTAGTAAGTGAATTTGTCAGGAATTGAGAATTACGGAATATAATTACAACGCATTACATATGTACAAATAATATATTTAATACGGCTTTTTCACACGGCTCAAACAATCAACCGAAATAGCTTGAACTTAAAAAAATGACTGCACGTGTGACGGATGCCACTGGAAGAAGAACATAGAAATTAAAAAACACATAGTGTACATTGGAAACTTTATGTATAAAGATTATTTATCGCCCTCTAGGTGTTACTAAATTTAGTTATAATGTTCATTAGCACACATTGCATGGATCCACTATTCTAACAGAATTAACTAATCACAGTAGAATCAGTGAGGTCATAACGTTAGCAGTAGCCAATCCAACATATTGATTTCCTGCATATGTTTTGCTGCCTTAAGTTTTTGTGAGCCATGACCTTTAATGTTAAAAAAACAATGGCTGTTAACATACGTTTGATGCTAAGAGTGCTTTGATGTTTTAAAAAGACACTGTCACCACTATGAATGCAAACGCTACTATCAATACTGTTCACAGTCAATAGCGTAATACTGTTATTAGCATAATAGCGTTTTTTATTGGCAGAACTTCAAGGTGAAGATAGAATTATTGATTTGATCTTAGATAGTATTGTCAAGATCAAGACAAAATCACTTTGAATTTTTTTAACGGAATTCTTCATTTTTCATTGCATATTCTTGTACCATACTTCTCCAGGTAACATCTATTGGTTCATGTCACATTTTATATACGTTTCTTAAATGGATATAATGTTCTACAAACATTTAAGGAACGTATATAAAACCATGTGCTGGGGTCAAGAATTTTGCAAAATACTATAATAAAATATTTGTTTATGAAAGAAATTAAAATGTTAGTAGACACATTTTAAACATTGAACTGACCACATCTTTAACTTTCCAACCATATAATTTTTATATTACATTTTGATGACTGATTGCAGTCGCCATGTTTTATTCATACTTTCTTTTTTTGTTGTATTCCTCGTGCAATTTGATATTTGTTATCGATACTAGTTAAACAGATTTCACTTTGAATGCAATCCACGACCCAGAAACGAGAATGGATTAAAATTTTTTCAATGTGTACTTTAAATTTATAAAAATGGATTGAAATGGATTGGATCTGAGCTGACTAGTTTAATATTTGAAAAAAACAACACATTCATATTTAAAGGGTTACAAATTTGATTTCTAAGACATTTATAATAATTATACCTGAAATTAAGACCTTGCATATAATAGAAGGAATAAGAAATTAGGAGTAAAGAATAAACGATTTTAATCTATCAGAAATCAGATATATCGAAATACACGGTTTCTGATAGATTGAAATTGTTTTTATTCTTTATTCATAATTTCTTATTCCTTCTATTATTAGGTGTACAACTTTGCTTCCGCCGTTTTTTTCCGAAATTCGATGCTTTATTGTAAAAAACTGGTTATACATTTATGATTCAAAGTATTGTCCATCGCTGGCCAATACTTTCTCTCATCTTTCGGGTAGCGTACGAATCTCGCGTCGAAAAAACTGGTCATCTTTTGAGGCTATCCACGAATCGATCCAATTTTTTACTTCTTCATAAGACCGGAAGTGCTGATCAGCTAGGCCGTGTGCCATTGATCGAAACAAGTGATAGTCAGAGGGAGCAACGTCTGGAGAATACGGCGGGTGGGGTAGCACTTCCCATTTCAACGTTTCCAAGTATGTCTTGACCACTTTCGCAACATGGGGTCGAGCATTGTCATGCTGCAAAATCACTTTATCGTGTCTCTCATTGTATTGCGGCCGTTTGTCTTTCAATGCTCGGCTCAAACGCATCAATTGCGTTCGATACCGATCGCCTGTGATTGTTTCAGTCGGTTTTAACACTTCATAATACACTACGCCGAGCTGGTCCCACCAAATACAGAGCATGACCTTGGAGCCGTGAATATTCGGTTTGGCCGTTGACGTGGAAGCACGACCGGGAACTCCCCATGATTTTCTGCGCTTAGGATTATCGTAATGAATCCATTTTTCGTCCCCAGTCACAATGCGATGCAGAAATCTCTTCCGTCTTTGCCTTTCAAGCAGCTGTTCACAAGCAAACAAACGCCGTTCAACATCTCTCGGCTTCAATTCGTACGGCACCCAATTTCCTTGCTTCTGAATCATTCTCATGGCTTTGAGGCGTTTTGAAATGGCTTGTTGAGTCACTCCCAATGATCCAATTCTTCTTGATTTTGACACGAGTTTTGCTCAAGTAATGCCTCCAATTCTACATCTTCGAAAACCTTCTCTCTTCCACCGCTATGCCGTCTTCGACGTCAAAATCACCGTTCTTGAAGCGTTGAAACCATTCACGACACGTTCTTTCACTAATAGCGGCCTCACCATAAGTATTTGAGAGCATTCGATGAGCCTCAGCCGCAGATGTCTTCATATGAAGCAAAAAATTAAACCCTCCCGCAAATGACGAGAATTTGGCTCGTAAACTGAACTTTTCAATCGAGAATAACTTTATGATGCAGACACAAATCGACTAATGTTTCTATGGAGTTATGTTGACAGATGCCCAAGTTTATTGTATGACGACTATGATCTATTTATTTCGACCACCACTTACCACTAAAGCCATCTATAGGAAAACGGCGGAAGCAAAGTTGTAATATAACTACTTCAAATTGATTAAAAAATATACTACTTTAAATTGATTAAAAAATATCGGATAATCTAATCTCGTTTGGTCGATGTTGCGCGCCGTGATTAGCCTAATATTCGGGCTGTGTTCAACTTGCGAGTGTTCACATCGATCATTTATTTTATTTCTAATCGAAGAAAAAGAATATAGCTCAATTATTTTTACGTTACAACTTTTTTGAATTTAGTTGAATTAAAACGAAAAATGTCTTACTTATAATTTTGAATAATTTAAGCATTTATGGTCCATTTTTAAATAAAAACTTTTTTTATTCAATTCGATTGAAAAACTGCATTTCATATTCAGAATATTGAATTGAGCAGTATTCACGTTACACAGAAATTGCTGATATTATTTTTGAATTTAACTGAATTAAAAAACCTGTACTTCCTATTCACAATTCTAAATTGAGTAGTATTCACGATGCAGAAAATGCTTATATATTATTTTTATATATTATTTTTAGATAGAAAGGCATAGAGATATACTCTATGCAATTCCTATAAATGAATAAAAATGCATTCACGATCGAAAAGAATTCATTTTAACGTTCATTTGAATCCATATTTCTGAACATCTGAATCCCTTTTAATCCATTTCAATCCATTCTCGTTTGCTGGGGAATAATTAACTGTTTAACTAACTTATGAGGGATATATTGGGTTGTCCGGAAAGTTCGTGCCGATTAACTTATATAATTTAATAAATGTATACTAAAATTTAAATTTTCTGCGTTTCAATTTTCCTTCAACATCGGCACGAACTTTCCGGACAACCCAATAGTTATTTGAATATCTCATTCGCTGAGGATGACTCCAAAGAGAATCAAAATGTACGATGTAATTTTATATTTAGAATGTATGTATTTTATAATTCACTATTTATTAAATTGCGCCTGCATTCTACTCTCATTGACCTGTCTTTTGTTGTGTTTAATATAACATAATATTGTTAATATTATTAAATATTATTGTTATATTACTGGAATATTATTGTTTCTACTACAAACAATAATATTCCTCTGCGATTGACTTACGATTTATAGATCCGAGTTCAATCCCACTTGCGCTTATATATACGCAATTTTTTCGTCAAATTTGTGACCGTGCTCGCGATCGATAGCACAACTTCGTCGCGTGCTCTATAATTTTTTTTTTCTTAAAGGAATTTCGTATGAGGTAAAGTCTCGACAGCCAGATAGAGTTTTCACAAATATCCAGAGCTTTTCGTTAACCAGTTGGGCGCCAGACACGAGAGAGCGTGCTCCTCTTTCAATAAGTTTCATCTACTTTAAATTAATTGCGCACAATTTTATTTCGCGACAACAGAGGTCGTTAAAGGTGAAGAAATTGTTTAAGGAATCAAAAATAACTTCATCTAGTAATTAAAAATTCTTTCCAAGTAGCACACAACAACGCTTACAAAGCGT